CATTTTAGTAATAACCACATACTCCATAAAAATGTCCCAAAGAGAACAGGAGCAAAATGACCTTAAGATTCATCATAGGAATCCAAAAATTCCAGAATTTGCCAAAGATCTTTTTAGCTTGGAGAGTGCTTTTTTTTTTGACGAATTAATTTATTTTAAAACATAATAAAATATTTTGCTTTTGTATACCTTATCCCAAATAAATATTTTCTTTGGACATGTTCAATCTTTTATTATTTATTGGGTGCTTTCTATTATTGCTACATCCTGGCCAGGGTATTGAGAGGGAACCTTTTATTGTCCTCTTTGTCCCTATCTGTATATATAGTAATCCCCCATTATCTGAGACAGATACTTTACAAGACCCCGCCGCCCAGCCCAGTGGATGAGACTGGAGATAGTACCAAACTCTATATATACTATGTTTTTCCTACACATATATAACTATCATAAAGTTTAATTTATAAAGTAGGCACAGTAAGAGATTAACACCAATAACTAATAATAAAATAGAACAGTTATAATGATATACTGTAATAAAAGTTATGTGAATGTGGTCTCTCTTTCTCTCAGAGTATCTTATGGTACTGAACTCATGCTTGTACTTCCTATGATCTGTCTGATAACCAAGATACCTAGCAAGTGACTATTGGGTGGGTACATACAGGATGGAGATGCTGGACAAATGAAGGGTGATTCACATCCCGGGCCAGACAGGTTGGGATGGCGTGAAACTTCATCACACTAATCAGAATGGTGTGCAATTTAAAACTTGTGAGTTGTTTATTTCTGAAATTTTCCATTTAATATTTTCAGACCACAGATGCCCACAGGTAACTGAAACTATGGAAAGCAAAATCGTGAATAAGGGGCTACTACTGTACCTGTCTTCCTAGTAACACGTTCATGCTGCCAGGATGCACATGTGTGAAGAAATGTAATTTTTTAGAGAAACCTCCCTTTAAGCAGAAGGTCTCAATCCTATTCCATGGAGAAAAGACCCACCTTTATACCAGGACTCTCAACGTTCTACATCTAATCTTAGATTCTTCTGCATGCCTGTCTATCATTTTAATCTTCTCTCCTCTCATAAGTGTCTGTCTCATGTGTAAGGTGAATCCTTCCATATAGTCTCTGGATCCTATCACCTCTTTTGCCCTCTGAGACACCACTCATGGCTTTCTTTGTCCCATATTTTCAGTCTCTTCCTTTTCGCTGGATCCTTTCTATTGGTATTTAAACATAGTCAAATCTCGCAGCTGTTCAACAACAACAAAAACAGTAGTGGCAGCATCAGCAAGCATATGCATGAAACCCAGACTCCAAACCCTCAGACCCTTCCCTTAACCCTACATCTCCTTCTCTCCTATCTTTGCTTTTTCTCCTTCATAGACAAACTCAGTTAATTTGAGCAGACTTGCTGTCTTCGCTTCCCATACACTCTTCATCCCACTAGTTTGGCTTCTGTCCCCATCCCTCTTTTTCTTCCAGCTTTCTCAGTCTTATTGAATGGCAGTGGTTGCCCATACCCTTCTGAAGCCTAGGAATGAATCTGACTCTACTTTCCTCATTTTCCCACATAAAATGAATCATCTGTTTCCATTGGTTTGGTCACTAAATCTCTCCTTGGAGTCCACCCACTTCTTTTCCTCCCCATTGCCCCTCCCTAATTTGGGAAGATAGAATTTATCTTGTTGGGCCAGCCAATGCATGTTGCTACATGGTGAGGTCCTAAAGACTTAGGGCCAGGCACGGTGGCTCATGCCTGTAATCCCAGCACTTTGGGAGGCTGAGGCGGGTGGATCATCTGAGCTCAGGGGTTAAAGACCAGCCTGGGCAATATGGTGAAATCCTGTCTCTACTAAAAATATACAAAAATTAGCTGGCATGGTGGTGCGTGTCTATGATCTCAACTGCTTGGGAGGCTGAGGCAGGAGAATCGCTTGAACCTGGGAGGTGGTGGTTGCAGTGAGTAGTGAGCCAGCCTGAACAACAGAGTCAGACTCCGTCTCAAAAAAAAAAAAAAAAAAAAAAAAAAAAAAAAGACTTAGGCTTGCCAATAGGCAAAAGATCTAGTTCCTGGAGATTTCCTTGTCATTTTAATATCCTCCTGATGTGGGTCTTCTGTTTGAAATGGTGACTTCTACATGTCTCAGTTGATTCCCTTTTACCCCCTGGCATTTCTCTCTGATTTTGGGAGGAATCCTCTGTTTCTACTAGAGGCTCTGAGCTCTCTACTGTTATTTTAGCTCTTTGTTCAGGTCCTGGCTTTGGTCCTCATTAGCTGTATGAGCTTGAGCAGATTATAGACTCCTTGATCCTTAGTTTCCTTATCTGTCAAATAAATGGTTTCCCCTGGTCCAGTGGGTCCCAGCCCTGACTGCACATTAGAATTACCTGGGGAGCTTTTTAAACCCTCCCAGTGCCCAGGCTGGACCTCAGAACAATGATACTAGCATCCCGATGCCCAGGTCTCAGGATTTTTTATTTTATTTAGAAATTTTTTTGTCAGTATTTTCTTTTTTTTTTTTTTCGTTTGAGATGGAGTCTTGCTGTCACCCAGACTGGAGTGCAGTGGTGCGATCTCGGCTCACTGCAACCTCCGCCTCCCAGATTCCAGCGATTCTCCTGCCTCAGCCTCCCAAGTAGCTGGAATTACAGATGCCTGCCACTATACCCAGCTATTTTTTTTTGTATTTTTAGTAGAGACAGGGTTTCACCCTGTTGGCCAGGCTGGTCTCGAACTCCTGACCTCAAGTGATTCGCCCGCCTTGGCCTCCCAAAGTGCTGGGATCACAGGCGTGAGTGACTACGCCCAGCTGTCGGTATTTTTTTAAAGTTCCTCCAAAGATTCTAATGGGCAGACAAAGTTAAGAACCACTGACTTAATGAGTTTTAAAGGACCTTTTGCTCTTTGCTCTTCTAACAGTTTGTGTTTTATCCCAAGTTGAAGTTTCTCTTCTTTTAATGTTTTTGCCAAGTTGGGAAGAAATAGCTGTGAAGCTCCTCCGACCCCCTTCCATCTGCTGTTTGTTCTTATTTACATATGATGGAACCCAGCCCACTGATTTATAGCTCTGGTTCCCTCACAACTGTTATTGAACTGAAAACATAGCTGAAAACTTATTAAACAGAAAAACATTATTTTAAGCTTAGTGCTGACTATTATAGAAGCAAGGAAACATTTCCACGTCTTTTCTTCTAGAATTAATGTTAACAATTGATTGACAACACCATACTCTCAAATGAAAAAGTTCATTCTGGGGCGAAACCCAGTATTTTTTCTTTCTTGAGTGTCCCATTGAGAAAGCCAAAGCATCTCTGCAGGAGAACTGGGTTTTGAGGGGTTCGTATCCATGAACAGGCAGGGCCTCCTCACACTGCTGCAGGTGGCCTCTAATGTGACATGTCAGTAGCTCCTTGCCTCTAGTCCTCTCTTTTGGTCCACAGACACTGGCAGCAAAGCCAGGCACACACATCCTCACTATGAGTGTGGCCTCACTGTTCAAATGCTTTGCAAGAGGCCTTTCAGAAGACCACCTTTCTGTAGCAGTCCCCTTTAGGCCTACCATTTTATTTCATTATTTTTTTAGAGACAAGGTCTCACTCTGTCACCCAGGCTGAAGTATAGTAGTGCAATCATAGCTCACTGCAGCCTCAAACTCCTGAGCTCAAGTGATCTTCCTGCCTCAGCCTCCTGAGTTGCTAGGACTATAGGTGCAGGCGTCACCATGCGCAGCCTTTTAAAAATAATTTTGTTTTTATAGAGATGAGGTCTTCTTGTGTTGCCCAGGCTGGTCTCGAACTCCTGGCCTCAAGTAATCCTCCCACTTCGACCTCCCAAAGTCCTGAGATTATAGGGGTGAGTCACTGCTCCTGGCCTATACCTACACTTTTAAATTTGAAATAACAAGAGTTTTCTGAGCTGCCAAGGAGTAGAGAGGGAGAGTAGGAAGATGATATAGCACAGCCGAACATTTATTTTAACCCACGGAACTAAATTTGGAAAGAACTGGGGTCCTGACATAAGTGTGATTCATATTGGTGAAGTGTCCTTTGGGGTGCTAACTCTCCCTGCCCGTTTCTCTGTGTTGACAGTTATCTCTTTCAACTGTTCGCTTTCTTCTGCAATACCTATCTGAAATGCACAGCCCATGCCTTTGCCTGTCTCTCTCAGTCCTTTATTAAATGATTAAAATTAGTTAGTACTTTGATAAGGATGAACCAGCTTAGTAGCTACAGACGGGTAAGTTATTGGTTTGTCATAATCTATGGTGAATTCCTGTCCCTGTATACCTGTATAATTCATTTTACGGCTGGGCCATCACATTATTCTCATGGAAAGAAATGGTTATCATCTTATTTGTTTATTTATTTATTTTTGGAGACAGGTCTTGCTTTGTTGCCCAGGCTGGAGTACAGTGGTGTGGTCATGGCTCACTACAACCTCTACCTCTTGGGCTCAAGCAATCCTCCCACCTCAGCTTCCTGAGTGGCTGGGACTACAGGCATTTGCCACTACACCCAGCTAATTTTTATATTTTTTGTAGAGATGGGATTTTGCCATGTTGCCCATGTTGGTCTTGAACCCCTGGACCCAAGTGAAACATTCACCTCAGCCTCAAAGTCCTGTGATTGCAGGCATGAGCCACCATGCCCAGCTAATTTTTATATTTTTGATAGAGATGGGGTTTCACCGTGTTGCCTGTGCTGGTCTCGAACTCCTGGGCTCAAGTGATCCACCTGCCTTGGCCTCCCAAAGTGTTGGGATTACAGGCATGAGCCACCGTGCTGGGCCTGGTTAGTTATATTTTAGTGGTGGAAAAAAGGGAATTTTCCTGGAAAAAGAAGTGTTGCCAGAGCATGGAGTCAAGCTGAAGGAACCCCTTACTTACCATGTTGAGTATTGAGTCATTTCTCATGCAAGCCAATTTTGTTCCAGACAACCTCGACTGAAGCTTCTTGGCTTTGACGTTTCCTCTTTGGGTATTTTCTTGTAGATGGAGGAATTGATTGAGGGCGTTCGCTGGGCCTTTATTGACATGCTAGAGAAAGAAAATGAGTGGATGGATGCGGGAACGAAAAGGAAAGCCAAAGAAAAGGTAAGGATTCCTTTTGATGAAAACAATAAGACTTCTGGTTTAATGGATTTTCATCCTTGACATTGACTGTATAGTTGGTTTTTATATTGACTGAACTGTTGACTCTGAATGACCCCAGAGTTAGCTGTCTGCTTTTGGATGAATACATAGATTTTTTTTTTTCACCAAGAGGTAAGAGAAAATAATATCGGAATTTTTCGAACTGCATTTTCAAATACCTTGTAATTCTGCCTTTCCTTTCTCCTAATTGCCGTCTGTAAGAGGCACATGGCTTGCTGCCTGCTGAATTGTGTCATAAACCATCACTGGATATGGCAGAATGCAGAGCAGTGGGGAGTCACAGGGAGCAGCTGGAAGAAGAGCCCCTAAGACACCAAGAAGAAGAAAACCCATATTGGTCACATGTCCTTCTGCTCTGTGCATGATGCATGCAAATGTCCTGGGGCAAATCCTTTCCTGTAACCAAGCATATCTCCTCCCTGACCCATCATTTGGCACAAATGACCCAAATAGTATACTTCTAGACTCTAGACCAGTGTTCTACCATTGCTTAGGACTACAAAAGTATTTCCTAATAGAAGTGGACACTTGCTGGGCCTTGTAAAATTTTCTGATACTGTGCAACACAATAAGGGATTAAAGGAGAAAAGTATTGACAGCCATGCTGTTTAAAAGTAGAAAACGGGCTGGGCGCACTGGCTCATGCCTGTAATCCCAGGACGTTGGGAGGCTGAGGCAGGTGGATCACTTGAGGTCAGGAGTTTGAGACCAGCCTGGCCAACATGGCGAAACCCCATCTCTACTAAAAATACAAAAAATTAGTTGGGCGTGGTGGCGCATGCGTCTGTAGTCCCAGCTACTCTGGAGGCTGAGGCGGGAGAATTGCTTGAGCCTAGGAGGCAGAGGTTGCAGCGAGTTGAGATCGTGCCACTGCACTCCAGCCTGGGTGACAGAGTGAGACTCCGTCTCTGAATAAATGAATGAATGGGACGCATTTTGAATTTGAGAGATTCTGATAGAGCTGGAATTCAAGTGGGTAGAGCACACCTGCTAGACTCTTGATGGATGCTACTCTGCAGCTGAGAGATTCTGAAATGAGGAGCGTTTCTTGTATCTAGAGGTATTTTAGAAAGCTTCCTGAGTATAGCAATCACCTGGGTTGCCTGGACGCTCTGGCTTTCTGGGCCCCTTCCCAGCAAGGCCTGGGTTAATGGATCATGGATGCAGGCTGAACATCTGTCAGTTTAGCCAGTCTCCAGGTGATTGTTATCACTAGGCAGGTCTGGGGAAACACTGCTTGGAGTCATATTGAGTCATACTGAGCACAAATACTTTTGCCTTATGGTCAAGAAATAAAGGGGGCAGCATTCTGGGAATGCTTAACCTTGTTGAAATGAGAACACGTAGAGGTTTAGCAAGGATATTTTCTAGTGCTTTAAACTCATGGTACTGGAGATGGATCAACATTGCCATAGATACTTTTGTCAATAGATGTGAAAAGGCTGTTTGTTCAGTGTTTATAATGAAGGAAGAACTGGGATGGTAGGTGGCAAGGCAGTGTTGGAGGAAGACAAAGGGTAGTTTTGATTTTTTGTTTCCCCTTCAAAAATCTGTCAAAGCTGTCTTCAGTCACATAAGGCACAAGCTGATGAAGGCAAGAGCACATGGGCTGTGATGGAAAACTCTCCAGATAGTGGAGAACTTTCAACACCAACATGTTGTTGCTTTATGAAGGCTTCATTTATTTGCTGAGCTAGCTCGTTACCACAAGCTGGCTGTGGAACAGGATGTGTCTTGCCCTGGGCAGTTGAGCGCTTAGTATTAAGGGCTCTTTATCCTCGCCTGACCTCACGTGGACCGAATAGGTGCTTGCATGAATTAGTACAGGACCACCAGGGTGGAGGGTGGGGTGGAGTGTATGTGTATGTATGCGTGTTGGGGGTAACGTGTTATGAATAGCTGGATGCCAGGGGAATGTTCTGGGAAGTCAGTTCTTTGAGCAGTATGGATTGCAGTTGCCTCAGGGAGTTCTTCTGAGTTGCATAAGGGAGTGGGTGCCTCACAGTTGGCCCTTCTCGGCAAGTGGCCCGTGGGTCCTTCTTGAAGCAGGACTATTCTCAGTTCTTCTAATATTAGACATGTTCCTGTTTGCCTCCCGAGTTGCTCTCCAGTCTTCTATTTTATTTCAATGAGAGCTGTCAGTTTTTCTTCTAAAAGCGCTCTTTGAACACTCTACTTTCTTTGAGTTGAGTTCAACCTGCCAGGAACTCTGCTAGTTCCACGACAGGTACAAATATCAAAGGCAAATTAGATCTCACAAAGTTCCCCGACTATATCTTGCATTTCAGAGTTCAGAGAAGTTTCTTTAACGAAATGCAAGAAAGATGGATGTTGTCGAAGCAATTTCAGCAGTTCTCTGAAGTGGGTCCTTCCCGGGACCCCCAGAAGATATAAATTTTTTTTTTTTTTTTTTTTTTTGGAAAATTAAATGAACATGCAGTTCTGAAAATGACCTCTGGGTGGAGCTCGTGGTACTCACAAAGAACACTTGCGGCATTGAAAGCTTTTATGCAGCTTTCTACTCCGGGGTTGTTTTTGAAAAAAAAAATTTTTCTTGCCCTTTTTCTCTGCTGTCCTCGATTTGATTGCCTTTTAATAGTCAACAAGAAAGGAGAGACTCTGCCTAATAATTCCTTGAATCTTAGATGGAAATCTCCCACTATCTTAGGGCTTTGTCTTTCTGATACTGAGTAGCCCCTGCATTAAGAAAAGGATTTGCCTGCATTTGAAGTGGAGGTGAATAACTCGCCTGCTCTTCCGGGTATGACTTGGCACTGTTCTTTGGGCATGTGTTGTATGCAGTATATCACCCAGGCGGAAGATTTCTCATCAATAATAGTGCCCACACTGGGCCAATGCTGAGTCACTTGGCAACCCATTGGGAAAGCTGGAAAAATGTTCTGATTTGTGAAAGGGAGAAGCTTTTCTTGCCTTCACCATGAAGCTCTGGACCGCAGCTAATTGCAGAGCCTCCTAAGAAGTGTTAACCTCAGCATTCCATAGTGACCGACCTCCTGAACCGGGCAGGTACAGAAAGCTGCAGTGCTCTGAGGCCTAATACCTTGGCTTTTGTAGCAGTGACCTCGTCTCAAAATGGAAGTGTGTGGATGTGGCTTTGTCATACTCTTTGCTAGGGGTGATCACTGTAAAAGATAAATGAGGACGCCTCTGCTCCCGTGAAGGGTAAATTTGTTATCTGTGTCTCCCTGCCTTGTCCTGCTCATCTCTTAAGAGGTCATGAGTGGTTTTTGTATTGTGAAACTGATGGTGTAGGTTTCAAGTGGAAATTCAGTATTGTGAAATAAGCACCCCCTGTTCCCTGCAAGCATGTGCTCTTATTGTAAATAAGCAGCACAGGACAGGGCATCTGTTATTTTTCTGGTGACCACAGCTGTTGAATGAGTGTCAGGTGATAAAATAATGATTTTAGGGGTGGCTTCTGGAGGATTTGCCCTTGCCAGAGTAGAAGAGGAGGATCTCAAGGTCGCGACATCAGGATTCTGACTGAGGCTTGGCAGGAGAGCGTCAGATCAGGAGGAGCAACTTCCTGAGCTTGGCTTATCTCCAGCTGGATTTGACTATATAACCAAAAGCTGGATCCCTTCGGGATTATTTGTTTCTTTGTGCTCTTTACCCCTGGGACCTAAGTTTGTCAGGTCACATCCAAAGAAAAATAGCAGGATGGGACTCACAGGGAGGTGGCATCCTAACGATGCTGTGAGGGAGTGGCCTTAACCTTGGCCACAGCAGGTGCAGAGAAGTCAGCTGCATGGTCCTAAGTTTATTGGCATTTAACTCCCACACACAGGCTTTGAGTGAGGTGGGGAGAGTTTTCTTGCAGAGGGCAAAACAGAGGTGTAGCTCACTTCCTTGGCTTTGTTTCTAAGCTCTACCAGGCCTAGGTACTGGATTTCTCCCAGGTATTCAGTCAGGGCCCTGCCTATATCCTGAGCCTGGTGGTTCTCAAGGTGTGGTTCCAGACCAGTAGCAGCAGTGGTCCCTGGGAACTCATTAGAGATGCACATTTTTGCATCCCTACCTGCTGAGCTCTGGGAGTAGGGCTCATTGTCTTGTGTTTTACCTGGTGATTCTGCTGCATGAAAAAGGTTGGGAACCCCTGCCTTGTCCTTACCACTTCACAGCACACCTGCCTGACTTCCAACTGCAGCCACCTGCATTTTGGCTAAGAGCATTCTCCCCCTGCTACAGCCTGCTTTGCTACTCATAAAGGGGGCCCAAAGGATGGGGAATGGCCACGCCTTCCTCAGAAGTCTTCACCCAACAGTTGATGGGAGTTGTTGTGTGTGGCCCCCGCTCCCTCATCCCTCTAGTGCATGTTCCACACGGGCGCTGGGAGCTTTTCCAGTGGGCTAGAGTTCTTATACTAGCTAAGATACTCGTTGCTGACTGCCTTTCTTTCTCTACATATTTCCTCTTTCTCCTACCAGTGTTTCTTTTGCTGCCCAAATGAACTGCTCGCACTTGAATCCTTGTCTTAGAGTCTGTTTCTGGGGGATTCCCAACTAGGACACAGCCCCTGGGGGTATACGCTTTCCTAATGCTTCCTTGCCTGTAAGGCAACAGCAAATTTCACCGAGTCTGGTTACTAGCCCTGCTTCAGCAGGCTCAATGCCACAAACGTTTCTAGCACACCAACAGCATGCCAGGTGCCAAGCCAGGATTTGGACTCAGAGATGAGCATCCGCAGTCCCTTTTCTGCGGGGGCCTTCAGGCTCCTAGGAGAGCACAGGAGGCCACGGATGCAGGGCTGACCTAGAGAAGTATTAGGTAATGTGATGGAGATGCAAAGTGGTCCTGGGAGCCTAGGGGAGGAGGCTTTTGCTGAGCCCAAACATGACATGTGAGGGCGCCTTACTTGGGAAGTACCTACTCTGCCCCTTTTTCTCTTCCTCTGTGTTGTTCCCACACCCTGTCTTGCA